CTGTGAAATGCAGCATTTTTCCGGGAGAGGCAATGTGTGTGCTTTTTATGCTACTTCTGCAGCGGACTCGGCTTGTTCCATTTTGTTTGTCCAGATTGTTTTGGGCTGTCACGGCTGCCGCGCGGGATATGGCGCTCAGCTGCTCGTAAGATACCACTGCGAATATCCAACCATGTGGACGCGGCGGCAAGAAGTGTTTCACTCGACGAGGTGAAAGCAGGCCAATCCGCTTCACGCAGGGCAAAAGTGGCTTTCTCCCGCCGAGGCAGCGTGTTGGCTATTCGCGGAATGCCATCTTCCATCCCCACCGAGTAAGATATTAAGCAGTGGTCCGAATCCATGTAGAGAGTGGACTGCCAGTGGGAGATGCGCAGGGCGCGGTACGCAGTCACGTCAGGGGACGAGGCATTACGATGTGTGATCCGTGTTGCCTGCGCCGGGTCATTTGCCGGCCCAAAATTCATATCAATTAAAATAGCAACAAAGTTCTCTTCTCCAGTCGTTAAAGGTATATATGACTTTCCCAGAGTCCATGATGTAAATTCAGTTTACCCGCGATAATCGCTGCGGGGCCTAAGCGACGAATGGTACTAATAAACGAAGAGCTCTTAAAGGTTGCTGTGGGAGGTTACAGAGATTCACCACGCAGATGCTGGGACAGCCCTGTGGAAATGCACGGACAGCAATGGACTCCAGGAGGTCAGTGCCAGTGAGCGGCAGGCGCTCGCACGGCAGAGAGTGGCGCACCAGAATGGCAACGCCACCACCGCACCCAGTGCGGGCCTGAAGAAAGCCATTACAGCCGGATAATTCTGCCGCTGTGGCGCTTCGATTATTTGTTGCCTGGAGAAGAACGATGTCAGGTTGGGGCAGCTCCAATCGCGCAGCAAATGCATTCTTTTTTACAAACGAGAGGCCTGCAATGTCACGCTGCCAAATAGTGATGTAGCCATCCACCTCGGTGCCAGGGTTCTTGTGGACGTCACCGCCACGGGTGATATCAACGGAATGACCGCAGCGAAACGGTCGTGCAGTTTTGTCCGACAGTCTGCAGGCAGACCGCTTCAACTCCCCGCACCGGGCATGGCGCGGAACCTTCTCGAGGGGTGGAGTTGTCTTGGTCTCCGTCGTGCTCGCAGCAACGCCCTGCTGCAGAGTTCCTATATGCAACCAAAGCCCCAGCACCGCGACAAGGTGCGACTTCATCGCTGGGGCTCACCGAATTTTGTCAAGGGCCTCATTCCAAGTTTTTTTGCTTGTTTCCTTTCTTCTTTTGCTGTTTGTGTTTTATTGGAATAATACGTACCTTTGTGCTTTCCCATCGGCTGTTTAACTGCTCTACACGGCATTATGTGCGACGTGTTTTCTGTTTTTTTTTTCTCTTTTTTTCCAGTCGCTGTGCCGGCCTCATTGCCGTGTGTCCCACGGACCGCGCGTACGAGGACTGAAGGAACAGGCCGGATGCCGGATGAAATGTGAGGGATGTTGTGTGGGCTCGTGGAACAGTACGATCTCTTCTTCATTGTTTTGCTTCTACCATTTTTTGCAAAGAATATGTATACACAAACACACGGTCGTCTAT